CTCCCTAGGATTATTTTCCAATGGACAATAGGCAGGGGAGCCTCTTTCTCCTGAACTTAAGGCTACCTGTGGTCATGGTCTTGGTCATGGTCACTGAGGGAAGGAAGACACCCTGCAGAGACAAGAGAGGAGGGAGGAGAAAAGAGAGACTCCAGGTCGCAACTTCTGGGCCAGAGCAGCCTCTGCCAGAACAAGCAGGACAAGCCAGTAGCTCTCCCCTGCTTCTGCCTGTGCTATTCTGATTTGGATTTCTGCACTCGTAAGCAAAAGATAATACAACTGTTAACAGTTCCTCTAATCTGAACAGTAACCAAATCTGTAGTACAAATACCATCTTAAGTGGATTCTTCATTTTAAAAATGAAGGGGGTTAGGGAAAGTTTTAATAAAGGAAGCAAATACTGATATTTATATAGTAGCACTTTCCCAAATAAAGAAATATTTAGTTTCATTTGTAGTCACCTTATTCATTCTGAGTGGGCTTTTGATTTGGCATAAACTCCCTCACATACCCACACAAGATTTGGTTCATAAAAATTTAGGATAAAACCAGGTGATTATATTTTCTGGCACTGCATGGAGGGAGAGAGCAGAGGGAGGGGTGGAGGTGTTAGGGGTAAGGGAGAGCAGCAGCTGATGTTAATTTTGGTACTCTCTCAAGAAGAATTGCCCAGGTAACCAGAGTTCTCGCCGAGCGGGGTGTGTGTGTGTGTGTGTGTGTGCGCGCGCGCGTGTGTGTGTGTAGGGGGATGTTTACAAAAATAAAATACATTTACCAAAATTTCCAGCTACTATGAGAAATTCCATCTTTTCATATGAGTTTTTTCTTTTACATTAAAATTTCCTCCACATTATCTTTCTCCTAAGAATGAACTGATAAAAATAGAAAGGTACAGTGTATTCCAATTCTCAAATTATCTTCTGAAGCAAAGAGCAAAGTCTGAGGTCAAACTACAGCAGAAGTCTAATGAGTGTTCCTCTTTAACCTCAGTGTCCACCCCAACCTTTGCAGGAATTCAAGGATGAAATAGGGGACCTATTTGTCAAAATACACAAATAGAATTACAAGCAGAAGATTGCTTAGGCTCAGTGGCCATCCAGTGCATAAAAAGAATCCCAGAAAGGGTGCCGACTTCTCCGGACTGGGCTTATATCCAGACCTAGAAATCTAACAGTGGAAGAAAGACGAGACTCATTGTGTAAACAGACTGGGCCATTGGGTAGAAGAAAGTATTTCTCAAAAGAGAAATAAAATTGTACTAACATTCAAGTGTTCTTAGACAAACTGAGAACTTACAGATAAGAAATAACCTAAAGATGTAATGTATGGCATTTGACTCCATTTCCACCTAGGAGTATTTTTTAAAAACCTGACATTGATTTCCAGATCAGGCATGCAATCTATTCCCAAAGAAAAATGGCTTGGAAAGACAGGCACATTTATGGGCAGAGAATAGGTTTACAAAGCAGAGCTAAATATACTGGACCCAATTTATTTAACATTTTTATAAATGCCACCAAATGGGAATACAAACTAAATCTTCATATGGGCCCACAAAGCTATCTCTGAGAACTAAAGCTGAGTGATTTTATAGGCTTAAAAAAAAAAGAGAGAGAGAGAGGAAAAGCATGAATTTGTGGTACGAAAGCCCAGAATAGTACATTTAAGACAAAATTTCATCTAGATTTGATATTTATGAGAAAATTGGATCAGAAAGGAAAGTAGGCCAAGAGGCTATAGATTTTTTTCAAGACACCATTGAGATAATTTATTTCAAAATATTTATTGTATAGACAAGGAAACTAAGTTATAGCTGGTTAACTACACAGACTGTCAGCAGCCAGCCCAGATCCTCTGCCAGACCAGGGCTCTTCCCACCAAACTGGGCTGAAAATATGAGCCCCAAACTGCCATGACAAGAAAGGAGTCAGGCATCACCATCACCATGGTTAAAGGAAATAAATCAAAAAGCATTTTGCTACCTTGTGTAAACCATGAAATGTTGAGTGTGACCTAGCCAATGGATCTCAAGGAAGACAACACCAAGCCAAAAACAGTTCAGATGAGGATAACTGAAATGGACATAAGACACAGAAGCACTTCTACATAAGACTTATGCCCCCCCCCAGTTCCATATCAAAAGACGTGGCTGATCAAAAAGCTCAAAGTGTGAAGGTATACATTTAGAAGTACCAAAACCAAGGATGAAGTCTGGGGAGAGTGTTCCCCTTGAAGCCTGAAATACAAGCACACCTCCATAAAGCATGTAGTAAATTCATAATAAAGGTGAATGTGGTTTAGTTCAGACATCCATTAGGTCATCGGGAAAGTCGTGACAGATTTCTCTCTACAAACATGCCTCAGGACTTTCCCAGCAACTCAATATTGAACGCCTCTGAGTCATGTACCATTGCTGGTGCAAATGAAATGAAAACACAGGCACCTCTTTGCAGAGTTTAGAGACTAGTGTGTAAAGCATGTCACTCTAACACAGTAACTGCCATCACAGAGGATGCCTGGGGGAGGTGGTGCATGTGTGTGCAAAGTACACAAATGCTTTGTGTACTCAGGTCAGCAGCCTAGTGAGTCTCTGGACCACTGTAGAAAGATCCCTGGCTATGCGCTGAGTGAGCTTGGGTTCTGGGCCAGTGACAGGGAATACTGGGAGGCAGCCCAGTGACCCTGGGAATACACTGCATAGCTTGTGGCGCCATGCGTTGAACAGGGTCCACCATATACCAAGGGCCGAGGGACCCTTACAGTCCCCACACTGTTGTGTAGGGTGTGGAATGGATCGTGTGGCATCTTCTCCCAGGGGGTTGCAAGGAAGTGGGAGGGTATTAAAGTCTATGGAATCAGCTTGTAAAAAGCAGAGGTTGCAATCTCAGCACAGGTGAGAGGACACTAATATTCCGTATTAACCTTTTTATAGAAGTTGAAAAGCATTTTTGAGAAACTCAGGTACAATACTGTATAAAGATATCTCACTCTGAGATATGTAACCTAAGATACCACAAAGCCATTCCTCTCATGTTGGCATTATCCAAAATCAAGAGAGAGGCACAAAATATTTTTAAAGAATTATTTTATTTATTATTAATATTTTAATTTGCTACAGGGCACACCTGCTCACCAGGAACAGAGAGAAAGAAAGGGAAAGTAAGAAAGCAAGCTGCCAGGGCCAGGACTCAAACCTCAGTTGACCAAGTGGGACTCTAGCGCCTTAACCACCATGCCACCTGCTGGCCTCAGCACTGAATTTTTAATCAGAATGGTCACAAGCAGATTGGACTTAGCAGGCTGGAGGGAAAGTCAGATTAGTGAAATGTGGATGCCAGGCAGATGCAAACTGGGTGCTGGAAACAGTACAGTGGGCCACTGGGGATTCTCGGGGAGCTGGTGGCCATCTTGGCCTAGGGTAGCCAGCTCAGATATCGATGGGAGCCAGAAAGCTAGTGTAAATGAGGCCACCGGTCCAGAGAGATCCAGAAAGCAGCCAATCTCCAGCAGAGGCCGGCACCAAACACAGCCCCAGCTCAGTGTTGCCATACTCAAGTAACATCTCCAGATTTCAGAATAACTCATTTTTTGTATATTTTGTTGAAGCCAACAACTTATTTGCCAGCTGCAGGTGGTATGCTTTTCACCTTTTCTGGACTCTAAAGTAAGGTAGGACCAGCAGAACGAGGGCAGAGGTTTATGGAATTTCATGGGATGGAGGAGTAACAGGACTTCAAGACCTGTCTAGGTGCAGGGAAGGCAGGATTTTTCCAGCATCACCGTGAGGCCTTTGCTTCAAGACCTTAGTGTTTGGTGGAGCCAGTGACAAAATAAACACAGACAGTTCTTGGCTGACGGTGAAGCAGATATGGGGTGGGTGGGGAAGACTAATACCGATTTTGGACTTATTATAGCTTCTTTTTGTTTGTTTTTATTTGTTTGCATAAAGGACATGGGTAAGTCCACTGGTCTGTAAGAATTAGCTAGAACATAGGAGAATGCTCTTAGCTGGGAAACTAACCTGGGACTCATCTCAACTGGTGACAGTTGAAGCTGTGGGAACATGGTTCACCCAAACACTATTTAGAACAGGAAAAGGGTGAGGACAGAGTCCCGAATGACTCTCAGAGGTAGTGGAGATGCCAGGGAAACAGAAGGAAAACCATAATCTGACAAGCAGGGAAGAAAGCAGCACCAGGAAGGAATGAAATGTCTCCAAATGCTGCAGGGAGGGCTAGTGAGGATGCCTGAGATAGCTTGTCCAGGAATTATCTGGTCTTCTACTTTGGGGACACTCTGGCCAGCTTGTAGACAGCTGAGAAGGAAGGGGAGGCTGGGAAGTGTTAGTTTAGGGAGCCTGGGAAGACAGGTCAATCCCTACAGGGAAGGTGGGGATGCAGGGACAGGGGGGTTTAGGATATTTGAAAATTACTGCTAAAAAAGAAGAGTTCACAGGGAAAGACTGAAGATAGAGAGAGAGGAGTAAGATTTTAGAGGAGATTAAGGGCTTGAGATTCAGGACATAGCTGGAAACATTAGTCACTGCCACAAGGAGACCTTGTCTCTGATTAACCATCTCTGAGTTTCTGGACCAACGTTTACTCTCCCTATCATTCTACCTTGTTCATATTTTAGCATGCATCTTATAATGTGTATGCTTGGTTTTGTCTGTTTTCTCCCACAAGCACAACAGTGTCAAGAGAGCAAGAATCTGCTAGATTTACCACATATTAAGGGCCTCGCCAAACACCTCGACAAGCATCTAGACACAGCAGATGTGTGGGAAGATGTACTGGGAGATGGGGGAATGTCTGAAAGTTTGTAGTAGGGAGATGAGGGAGGATGTGGAAAATCTCTGATGGCCTTTATTTTCTCAGTGGAGTGAGCCGTGAAGTCACCTGTTGAACCTGAAAAAGGGAAGTGGTTGCAGAGCTCTGTGTTGAAGATTATAATGGGAATGCCAGTCTGCCACCTGGAAAAGAGCTTATGGTTTGGAGATTATGACGCTGGGGTTGAAGAAACTGAGTATCTACAGGCAAGGACAAGACTTGGAGGAGGACTTAGTGACTGAAATAGGTGGAGGGTAATGGACCTGAGAGCACCCTCCACATGGATGTTGAGATTACAGAAGGAACGAAAGACCATGAGCCAAAGTTCCCCATACTGTGAGAGAAGGACTGCTTGGAAGAGGAGGCAACACTAACTGGGTAGCCAGGGACCTGCCTAAGTCACTACCACATCCAACTCGACCACCTCCAACAATCTCTGACTGGTACTTGATCACCCATGTGAGGAACTGAAAATGAACATCCTTTGGAGACTGAGTAATTTTTGTCCTTTTGAAATTACACTAATATTGGGGCTAGCGAATGGTGTGATGGTTAAGGTGCTGGATTCCCACAAGGCAAACTGTGGTTTGAGTCCCAGAGCTGGTGCCTTGAAAAACACACAACACACATGTGTGTGTGTGTGTGTGTGTGTGTGCGCGTACCTAAAATCCTAGGAGGAGAAAGGAGAAGGGATTGCGGCGTGGCTATCCCCTCAGGGGTTATTTCTCACTTTCCCTCTGTCTTTCTCTGTCTCTGCTGAGCACATTCACCCCAGGTAAAAAAACAAACAAAACCTTTTAAAAAAATTACACTAATATGTGAAGTTCACAGGAGGTAGAAATTTTCTGTATAGATTTCCTTTTTTTTAGAATAAAAAAAGGATGATATCTTCATGACCTTTAATAATTGCCTTGCACTGCATAGTGTTTTCAAATGTTATTTTAATGAATCAAAACTTAGGAGTTGAAAGAAACCTTAAATTATTTAGCCTAGCACCTTCACTTGCATAGTTGAAGAAAATTTTCACGGGAATATTGCAAACAGCACATAATTACTGATTTAGATATGCAGGTAAGAGTTGAAAGTACTTTCAATTTCTGAAGGGTGCTTTACATAGACAAATTAGCAATGCTGACACTTTTCCCAGTTATCTGTGTTCAACTTTTGACATAAAATCTCTCTGAAGTCCAAAACGATCACATAAATTGTTTCAGAACAGTTCTGAGAAGGAAACAGCTTCCTGGCTTGAAAGAGAAAGCCAAACCTTCAAACACCTTATGGTGATGTTGAATATAAGAACATCTCTCTGCAAAGGAGTCAAAGTGAGACGCAGAAGCCTTTTCTCAAGAGAGAGCCCCATGAAACTGTTTCTTCATTAAAGCACTAAAACCTTCAATAGCATCTTCCCCAACACCTGAAGGTGGAGTACTGTCTTATGTAATAGATGCCTTCCGACCCGTTCAGTTTGTGGGCAAATTAAACATCTAATTCCGCCCAGAATTTCTGAGTACTTTTCACCTTACCTGTAGTCACCAATCCACCACGTAGTTCCCATTTCTACAGATGAGGAAAACAGCAAAGACACCCTCGTTGGGGTTAAATCGGTTGCCAGAGACCAATTTACAGGTTCTCCCCAAGCCGCCGCTCAGGCAGAGGTAACAAGTAAGAGTCCGTCCGTCCTTCCCTATCTCCTTCCCTATCCAGCGGCGCACACGCAAGGACGGGGTGGGGGACGCCTACGAGTCGCAGGACTCCTCAGGTTCAGGGTCACGGGTGCCAGCTCGGATGGACTGACAACCCACCGCGGGCTCGGGGGCACTCCTCGCCGGTCGCGGGTTTCCAGCTGCGGGGACACCTGGACGCCACGACCCGCGCAGCCCCTCCGCGCCCTGCCCGGTCCTACCCGCGGATCCCAGCGGGCTGGACGGAGCAGTCCGGAGCGCACCCAGCCTTGGCCCCGGCAGCCCTAGGCAGGCAGAGAAAGTTCCCTCGGCATAGACGCCGGTGCTCCGGGCCCGGCTCACCCCGCAGCCTCGGCTGGGTGCAAGGTCGCGGGGCCGAGGTGGCGGCGCGCGTGGCCCCGGACACGGTTCCCGGAGACGAGGGAAGCGCCGGCCGCGCCCCTCCGCGCCCGGGAACGCTCAGCCCGTACTCACCGGCTCTGGACCCAGGTGGCGGCCGCGGAGGGCGGCGCGGCCGGAGCGCGAGCCGGG